TTCAATAATTTGCGGTTATCCTACCAAGGTATTCAAAGATGTTATCATTGCATCTGACAATACCGTAAATTTTAATTAAAAAATATCATATGTATTTACTCGTATATGTTTTTTTTTATTAAATACATTTTACAATTTACACTTTTATTCTCATAAGTATTGTATGACTATAGTATGATTTATTTTTACGTCACGTTTCAGTGTAGTTACCATGGAAATAGATACTTAATTAAATTAGACTGCATGCCTTCATTTATGCAGATATGAATACATCTACAAATACGTGGATGTAGTTGAAAACATATGCATATATTTCCCTGCTTATCGAATTATGATACGAAGAATCTTCTGAACATTAGTGAAACAAACTAAGTGTTTTGTGTTTGTTCACTCATCGTGTCCATTCCCTGCATAGTTCCTGTGTATTCCCTGCCTATTCCCTGGGTATTTTTCTTTGTATTCCCATGCCTTTCCCTGACATGTCGTTTTCGTGAGGTTAGCTAATGAAATGTGTTCTTGGGTTCTATTATCAGTTCATATTTTTTTTCGAAGATGGTGAAGGATTATCACTGTAAATGGATTAGTAGTTTATTCTAATTTAAATGAGACGTAATTCCACAATATGTTATTCTACATAAAAGCTTTCAGATCTAGAGTAGCTATAATTGATATATACAGAGACATATTACTGGCATGGAGTACTCTTAATAAAAAGCCACTTGACGATATGGATGACCCTATAGTCACTGCCTTAATATGATCTACCGATCCAATCTGATTAATATAAATAAGTAAATGCAGTGTAAGCCCCAAGGTCTAAAACAAAACAAACCACTAAATCAAGCTTTATCAATAAAACATGTAAAGAAAAATGTTGCCAAAGTGCGTTTAGATAAATGATTCAAATGGCTCCATCCATGGCAATAAATTACAAATTAACACCTTAATAATTGACTTGACCTTTGTTTGGAAGCTTATTAGCATCGACTATTAAATTTTATATACCTTCCTTTTCTCACAGTCGCAAACAACGTGGAAATCATGTGAGGTGTTATGATGAGGCGACATATCTGTAAACAGCTGGAAAACAAATGAAAAAGTGTACCACCTTGCCTTATCTTCGTGCTTGGCGTGACTGCGACAAAATTAATACAGGCAGTATTCTCAATGGGACTCATTTATAAGAGAGGAAATAGTATTTGTGCGCTCCGTAATCAGTAGCATTTATTTGAGTGATTCTGTAATTTCTGTACGTAAGGCGTAAATCACAATCATTTATTTTATTCCCTCCGTACTTCGTGCAAAGATAGCTTTGTTTTGTGTACGAATGGGAATGTTGTCGATAATAAAGGCCGTAAACCGTACAAAGATTTTACAATATCCAATTCATAATACATGTCGAGGGTCGACATAATGTCAGAGAATACTGCGCTTGTTAAAGTGTGTAAGGACATATATTAGGCTAACAATTGTGTGTTCTGAAACCCCTGTCGAGATTATAGTAGATGATTCAACGCATTTTACTTTGCCGAATGTTGTGAGATATGAACAGTACTGAATTGACGTGAGTGTATGGGGCAAGTAGTGCTTAGGTACCACTTGGTTGGTAAATCCTACATATAATTTATCTATAGAATTTTCTGTGGTATTTGTGCATATTTGTAACATTTGTAGCAGCTGCATGATTTGCGCATATTGAGAATGAGTTAAAATATAATTTAGATTATATTTTTGAAACTAAATATAAACACAAGTGAGTTATTTTCATAAGCCGTGCCACTATACTGCTACTGTGCAAACAATCAGTTGTATTATTAATTAATTAAAATTTAGTTTTACATGATTAAATTAATGCGTAGCGGGACACTTTGACTTTAAATTACTAAATTAATAGAGTCGTACAATGCCCATAAAATGTGCTAAAGATGTATAGTATGCATTTAATCCAATTTTTCATTCATCTTGTTGCCTATGTACCAATTTTTAATGTAAATAGTACAAGTGTATCTGAGAATGGGCAAACAAATAGTGTAGTTCCTGTGTTTGGGCGATTAGGCTTTTAATACTACTAAAAGTGTCTCCATAAGCTTGATATTATTTTTGGTAGTCCCCATTTTGTACTGCGCCAATATCACATTCATTATTTATGTATATATATATTTATGATTGCCCACAATGTAGGATATTGATTAGTAAAAAAAATAACATTTATTGACATATTATTTTTGACCAGAAATCGATAAAAAAAATCAAAAAGTCCATTCATTGTGTATGTAAAATGTATGTGCATATGTAAACTGTTTTGCACGCACCTTGTCCTAGATTTCGATTAAACTTTAGGAATGGTGGATTATTTTTATAATTTTTCGACTGAAAATGGATGGATTTAAACGAAAACTTGTTTGCACATGAAATTCTATATTGCGGGTTATATAAATGCAATGTGTCTGCAGCATTTAACAGTGACGTCACGTTACAAAAGATCACAAATTGTATCAAAAACACAAAGAATAAGAACGCACCTGGTCCAGATGGAATTGTAAATGAGATAGTGCTGACAACGTGCATCATGCTATGTGCCATTTTTCTATTTAATTCTTTTGGAGGCAAAATATCTTTTTTTTTTTGAAAAATAAAATTATTAACGACGTCTCTAATTATCGTCGTATTTCGTTGTCGTCTAGTGAGTAAAAATAGAACCGTCTAGTAAAGTGGACTGTAAAAATTGCATATATTATTATTAAGACCCAAGCAGTCTTTCGTATAGGGTATAGTATTATTGACAATATGTTTTCACTACAGTTTTTAGTGTTTAGCTCAGAAAATATTTATCACGATGCTTATTTTGTGTATACTATGCAAACTTTCGGTCGCGTTAAGCCCGCTGCACCTTGCCCGAGTCTGCACTCCCCGGTGCATCCTATCTGAGTATGCACACAGTCGACGTTCAGTTGTATTTAGATAGGGTCGGTCATTACGACTGAGATTCCGCGACTCTATTCCGCACACTGATACGACAAAATACATCTAAATTTCTCATCTTCTAACATTTCGCTCACCATATAACATCGCGTTTATTCGGTCCACTCTGCTGCATTTTTCCGTTTTCTAAACTCCAATTGCTGTCATATGGCGTCGTAAATGCGGCGAGAGGTGACTAACCCACTTTTATAATAATTTTGACGCACTTTCTTAATAAAATACATATTCATCAACAAGTACGACATCCTGTACATGAGTAATTGTGTCATTCCTTTAGTTTATATTACGCTTCAGGAGTTTATTCAATTGAATATGATATAAATATGGATATATTTTGTAATTAGCGAGTTAATATTGAACTTTCTCTGCATCTAGGCGGGGCACTGTATTCAAGTGCTTTTGGTTGTTAATTGTGACCGATCGTTTATCAAACATTTCTCCAATCCACAATGTCCTAGATCTATATTCTAGTATTTATAATCAGACTTTAGACTACGCTTTCCATCATATGAACGATTTACTCCAGATGACACCGGAAAGCAGATGTTATATGTCCATATAGGTCTCATGCCACTAATCAACCAATATTTTTTTTCTCAGGTGCTCCCTGTTTGAGGGCGTGATCACCTGGGTCAAAGGTGAGACCAACATGTGGTCTTTTGTTTACTACTTAGCAGCTGTGTACCTGTGGGTTTATTCTGTGTGTATTTGGATGTTCTAATCTTGGTGTTTTTCCAGTGATTGCTCTAGGTGCAATCCAAATACAGTAGGTGTGTCTTGTTTACCTAAGATTTGTAAGAGTTTGAGCTGGCCAACATGTTAGTTTTTTCATGTGGTTGATTACTGGCATGTTGATTTCCCACTTTTGAGCCATGTTTTCAACTTTGTTCATCATTTTCATATAGCAATCTCGTCATATGTTAACACTGTCGTCTATGGAAATTCAATAACTGGTATGAGCCTTATACATACATAATATATAATACATAAATATTTCCCGACTGAAACATTGAAACATTGGGGGAAATAATAAAATGCGCTGGAAATGCTAAGGATACATTGTGAATTCAACATCGCCAGTGTTCTTCTGGTGAGCTTCTTTATATTGTTCGAGTCGTTAAAATGACACAAAAATGTCAGTGGTGTGACTCTCAAACCACAACATTTCAAAAAATGTACACAATTGCCCTAATTCTAAAATTAGAATGCATAATGTTAACGTATAGTAAAATGAATTCGTTACTCTTGTTTTCCCTCCAAGGGTTTTAGGGCGCTTTCCACGGCGAGTGAAAGTATACTTGAACGGCAAAGCGCAGTAATGTGACGTCAGTCCTCTATCGAGAATACAATTGAATAGCGCCCTCATGCGACGAGGTCTTTCTTCCACGTGTGATGGAAAACGTCGTATCTTTGATTCATTTATATTATACGTATGTATATACAAGTTATTCATCTGTTCACTTCGTATAGGTCATATAAATAGGTATCACGCCCGTTGAAACTAAATAAATATATATACAAATAAATAAAATCAATTTACTAATAACCAGTCATATCCATGAAGACACAGAAGAAGATCTAGACACCAAATAAACCAAACAACAACAGCACTGTAAACATTATTTGAAGTCTATCGAGGTGAATAAACATTAGCCATATCTGGACAAATACAAACTCAAAAACTTTATTTTAGTATAGTAATCGATTGTTTTAACTTAATCTCTTCTTTTTAGTATAATACATAGTATGTCAATACAAAACACGAAAGGAGTTTGATCTTGTGTAGCCCCATTAAGGACAGGCAGGACTTATTATGATTATTACGATTATACCAAGATGTCAGCAACATTAACATCAGTTTAATTTATTACATACGCTACATGCACTGTTAATATCATATTATTGAGGAGCTACGTTATTAGTTGATGAAATATACATGCATTACTTATTTCATTTGGTCAAACCTAATTACTGATTTAATTTAGCAGATATTTGTTCGACATAGTGGGGTTCGGTTATTACCTTCAAAGGCCACAGTCACGGTGGTTGAGCACATATCATCAAATTTTGAGATACGTGAAATTAGGAGATACATATATTGGCAAATGACATCCGCATTAGTTGAATTACAAATTTAAAACATCATGGCAAACCGAGTCGATCAAATCAAATTCTATTTTTCCGTTAATTTTCTAAGTTCATCAATCTCAGACGCCACCCGACTATCGTGACGTCTCATTATTTCTTGCAGCGATTCCCACGTTGGTGGCGCTACACCTCCCGAGTTGCTGAGCTCGAGCCACCTCGACATCATGAGGGACGCCGACATAGCAGACTCGCCACCAGTTTTAGCAATAGTGTCCTTCTGTATGCCAACCTCCTTGGCAACCACCTCCCAGTATGTTCCTATTTTCACCGCGATATACTGGATGTCTGATTTTACTATCGGGTGCCCTCTGGGTCGTCCTGTTAAAAGAAACACCAATTGTTATTACATGACGCGCTCATGGGAAAAGCATATTCAAAAACTCCTGTCGAGTCGAGGCATATCTACCAAGTCATCATACCAAGGATTGATGAACTTGTCAAAATCAGTTCAGATATTCAAATTTAACGATTTAACGGCCGTTTGACATCAACATTGGATCATATCACAAAACAGTATACATATATACTTTCTCCATACCTAGATGGGCAAAATAATATTAATAATATATTGCATTCAATAAGTTCTATTACGGTAACAGACTAATCGCAAAAGGTTAAAGGTGTTAAGGTTGTACTGTCAGCAAAATTTGTTTCAGACCTTTGAAATGTCAAGTAAACTGTGTCAGTACTATACTGAATACAACAGTTATGATTTCAGGAGTATCTTGCCACATGGATTTGTTTTGCATAAAAATCAGCTTTGATATTTGGCACAATGCCAAGTGTTATATCAGTATAACTCGAGAACGCCATGACATTCAGATTTTATTGTTTTGCAAAGTTGCTTAGGTACTTTCAACTAATTTTTGCTTAACATTACCACTTTATTAGTTAACCTTTTTGATCTTCTTCAATACACTCCAGTCTTTTCTGCATTTTCCCACAATTATCTTCGGTCCATTTTCTCAGGGACACCAACTCCTCTCGTAGTTTTTCAATCTCTTTCCAGAGTTTTTCTTCCCCGTGTGTTCCGAAATTATTCAGTTTATCTATAAAATTGTTTAACTTAGCTTCATCGTACGAACCTAAACATAAATAAAAAAATAAATAAATATATATTAGAACTATGTTCTATTTTTCGTCTATTTATGATCATTTATGCTATTAATATAATTGTATGGTAAATCATGATTGTATACGTTCGCCATATTTATATGCATTTCCCATGATACACTGTGGTTGTGTGAGGTATTATACTTCCGGTATGCACATGACAACAGAGAAGGCTGCTGAGAAGAATTTTTCAAATAGTAGGCTGATTCTTCGAAATTAACGTAATTAACTGTTTTTTATGTGGTTTGCAGATTCGTTTGAATTTCGTAACTTTTGTGGAAAATCAGGTGAAGTACTAGTGTACTAGGTCCGATATCAATGAATATCAATGCTACAGATATGTTGTAGCAATGTTCACCTTGTTTTTCTAGTTTGTTGAGTTTATCAACTGTTTTGCGGTACTCCTCTTTGAACGTCGTGAATTCCTGTACGAGTGCTTGTATTATTTTTCTAAGATCTTCCCTTGATGATGTCTCTATCTTCATTGCTATCAACAAATATGAAAGGCAGAAACCGTCAAATAACATCAACTCCATGATAGTAACTATACTCACGTATTTCGAAATAACACAACGAATTAATATTCTGATAATGTAAAACAGTCGCATAAACCGCAAACCTAATTCTAGCCTGGAGCAGTCGGTTGGTGATGATCGACCTAACTATAATGGATTCATTTCATGTCAAAATCATGTGTATAAAAACGAATGCACTGTTCCTGTCAGTATGCCCTCTAGCGGCGGTGAGTTTTTTATGACGCGAATGGCTAGAATTTATTCTATGGACTACTGATCTGTAGCCACCCGTCGCAAACAAATATTTGTTTCGAGTACTACTATAGTATAAACGGTTACATAACCAAACAAAGTTGCCGATTTGTTGAGCGACAACGATTTCATATTTCGATGTCACAGTAGCTGTCGTCGCTAGAGGGTGGGATTTAAATAATCGGACAGGTGACTCACAGTCCTCTAAGTTTGCAATGCGATCCATGGCTTCTCGTAAACCGGTTATTTCGCATATAATGTTGTCTTTAAATGTAACCAGCTGATCTGACATCTCTCGCTGACCCGCCTTCATTTCGGCAACCATCCTCTGATTGCTCATCTCCATCATTTCTTTCATAGCTAGTATTAAAGCTTTATAACAAAACAACGCAGTGAGTAATATTATCACAGACATGGAGACGTTAACATTGCAAGTAAATTGTCAATGACACCTGGTCCAGTGTTTATAAGAAATATATTATCCCCAAAATTATTATTATACAGCTCTGAATGCTTTATTTTTTGTATTTTCTAGTTTATTATACGAGATTTTTACGTAACAATACGACTAGTGTTAAGTGTTGTTTACGTATGGTGATACTATTTTTTTTTTTTTTTTTTTTTTGCCTAAATTTGAATCGGAATCTGTTGCTGGGATCTCAATACAATGTTGTAGGAACCTGAATCTGTTGATGGAAACTGAATACTCAGTATATTTCTGGAATGTGAATGTAAATCTGATGCTAAAATCTGAGCCTGAATATGTTGCTAACATCAAACCTTACCCTGGTCTTTGTCCAGTGACTTCTCTTGTGTTTTGGGCACTGTCAAATAATTGTTCAAAAATAGGAATAAGTTCATGCGGCCAGGAATAATACTCGTCACGCGATATCAAAGCCTCCGTTATGAATGATATTACAACCATATTATCCTTTGAACTTTGAACGTGTGAAACATAATTGAATATGTATATTCACTTACGTGGACTTGCTGCTGGTTGTTTTGAGTCAACACCGGGCTCTAACGTTTTCAACACTGTCGTAGAATGGTTAGTCGCTTTTAATATTTTGTAAAGCTTATCGTAGCCATCTTTCTTTTCCTTGAATATATCTAAAAGATGCAGCGCCCTCGCTTCCCGTTTTCGTACCTGCTAAAACAGGAGGCGATTTGTCTCAGAACATACTGTCATCGAAGTAAGTACTACATGTATATCAAATGGGCATACTCATAAAACAAATTGTTGTACATATTAATCTTGAAAATAAAATTTAGGTTATTTTATATTTTAAAACTAACAATAAATGTAAACAGAAAGCAGATCGGTTGTTTGGCTGACTGCACCTGATTTGAACTTTGACCTCAGTACCCGTCACGCAATGTATCATTAAGATCAGTTTGAAATCAACATTTTTCAAAATATTTGGCATTATGTTCATCTGTATTTTTCTATATATCTGTTGTGTATAATTGTGTAAATATGCAGAGTAAATATTGTGTTATGGCCTTTGTAGCTGCTTTAACCATTTTTCAACAATTGGGTCAATTTTGTTATTATATTATTAAACAAGGAAATGATAGAAAAATACAGGTACATTCGCATAATGTTTTGCCAAAATTTATGGCGAGAACAAATGTATGGTGTTTAAAATGTATCAATCGCCGGTAAAGTGTTCACAATTTCCGCTAGGAGCTGCACAAAGTTAAAATCCCCTTTCTGTCAAATCGCAATTGTTATATTTTTCCTGGAGAAAAGGATGTATATATGTTTGCCATGAACCTTTGGTGCAGTTTGTTTTCACGTACTGGTATCTTGCTTTTAGCTAACGACTTCATCGGCGTTCTCTGGAAAATTCTACACAACTATAAACAAGCGTGGCATATCGTCCTGTTGACTGTAGTTATGTTTATAGTTACTAAACTTACCAAGTTCAAATACTTATGTATTGAAACATCAAAATCAGTGCCAAAACTATCCTACTGAATTATAAACTTTGAACTATTAATGAAGCACAAATGCAACTGAGATTTATTTGAGATTGAACCATTATTCCCGCTCAGTGGAGGTATGCCATTTCATCAAGTGCACAAATGCCTGTGGTGGTGCCGGCGTATCTCTTTATATAGATATATGACACTACTATTGTCTTTTCCCCAGCCCCTCTGTGGGGTGTGATGTGTATGTGTGTATTTCTTTACGCTTGCCCTCAATATAAATATTGGCCTGCTCATAATTCTGCCAAGCTTTACTTACGTTCAAGGCCACCACATCGCCGTTGTTTAGAAACGACGGGTACATTTCTTCCGTTTTCTTGACAACTTGATCGACGTTTATTGTCTTTGCCAAATAGTCGAGGTTCTCGGAGAGAATTCGCTTCTTTTCCGTAGCCATTTTCGTAGATTATTTGGCGAGTCCGTGAGACCCCTGGCAGTAATACGTGGTTATACTTTATATATTTAACACATACTCTGGAAACAAAATGTATAACATCTGAATAATTATCGGAAATTTCGAAATCACAACTAATTGGAAACTTTAAAACTGTGTGACCGTTATGTAAAGTACGTGAACTGCCTGTAACAGACACACTTAATGAAGTAATTGTTAAGTTCCGTAAATATGTCAGAGCGTACGTACAGTACAGTGACCTCATTTGACCCTTACTGTACTCAATCGCCAACTACTGAAATGCGCATGCGTAAATTACTTTCTGTGCTTGAACGCTCCCTGGTAACTCCGAGGCCAGTAGACCAAGCCAGCCACACGTTTAAGGCACTGTCTCGAACTCGTACCCAGCCTTCAACGGCGAGATGTTCTACCGCGTCACTGGGACTGTCATTTGTTTATCCCGTGTGTTTTTTTCCTTGACTTCCATGCCTTTTCCCGTCCCGTGCTATGTTATATTAATTTATGTTTTCGCTGCTGAGTAGTTAATCTCGGAGCCGATCCCGTAATTATAAAATCACGGTGCATCTACCATAGAAGAACCGTAATAAAATAACAATACAAAATGAATGAGACGCCAAACATGAATGCATTGCGAATAAACAAATCAATTGCATTTAACCCGTACGGATACAGTCGGTAACAACCAGATATACGCCGTATCTGGGTGCAGTTATCCGACCCATTGCGATTTATCATTCATTTCGTAGTCACCAAGGCTGTTTCTCTTCATAGTGAGCCCGGACAGTTTGGATACATGCCAAGCGTTGGTGTATGTTATCACGGCAACTTGAAGTATACCTTATTTTAGATTTTGCGTTTCGACACCACACGATGATCATAATTTAATTGACACCTTACTATTCAGTGTACTAGTCGACGAACGACACAATTCAATAAACAGGGACAAACAACGAGGTGTCAACGACGAATAAGACGATCCTGTCTGTAAAACCAGAGCTAAACATAAGAACAAACGTCAAACACAAACAAATCACAAATATCAGTCATGACGTTGCCATTACGCGTAGGTAATTTCGGTTACGTTATAAGCTATGTTTGTTTAAAAAAAAGTTTTAAAAATGCCTTAATTGACTCTCACCTTAGTACAGTATGTTCGTCGTCATGCTCGCTGTCCGCAGATTAGTAGACAACTAGGGGTACTCCGTTGTATTTTGTGACACTATTGTCTGCGCTGTATAGTTGTGTTAGCCGTCACACAATGCATCTCGTAGTTAGTAGGTGCATTGTTATTCAAATACGACTGTCATACTATTCAGGTGGTTATTTTGACGTGGGCACTCAGTAGACAAAGGACAATAGTTGTAAATATAAAACGTGCATAGTTGTGTCCCTAGCAATGCGTGCATGCGCGATACATTACACTTTAATAAATACAAGTAGCGCTGCACGTTCTCGTTAATAAGTTACTCACCGGAAGAAGTACGCGTAATGCATATATCGCGAACTAAAGTCTCCGGCGTTTGAGTATTTCAACTTTTGGAAAGCGTGATCCGAAGCCTGTTCACAGTCTATGAAGCTAGATCGTTTTTTTTATCTCAATGGTTCTGACCGAACAGGAACGGACGGAGTAATAATATAAAATGGGACGTAGGTGGCGCTCTTGCAGAAAAGACCAACACTTGTTTATTGGTGTAATACCAGTAAATTAATCTTATCACTACGCGATAATCATCCACATCATGCTAATACATAATGAATATTCATGTAGAGCCTATATATGATTCAATCGTGTCACATTAATAATAGACTTTAAAAGACTTTTAAGGTCTATGCATTAATAAAGGCAGGCAGGAATTAGGATGGAACTTAGCGAATGGTGCACTGACCGGCCGGGCACTGGCTCAAGAAATAAAGCATCGGAGATTGGATAAGCGCTGATCCCTTAAAATTTGTTCAGTATACCCACGATCGCCTTCTCTACCCCCCCCCCCCCGCCCCCATGAGGCTGCCACTACACCCATTCTACTTGGTCGGTATAAGCGCCGCTCAATAATCCCAGCAACACGATGTTGTGCATCGCTCGATACAGTTGTGAAACCGTGACGACAGACAGACCACAACTCAAGGAAATCGACAAATTAATTTTGATGGAAGGCTCCCTAAATCCGAATTTTACATAGAATATGTTGTATCAGTAATATACTCTACCATTAGATTATTATGACGTCACCGTGACGACAATCGGCTACTCGTCGAATAAATATGACGTCGCGATAGAACATTTATCATAGATTTCAACAAAAACAAGATAGGATAACACTCGTACCCCAAATATAAAAAATAGCCTATTTTGAATTTCACAATATCATGCTTGTGATGATACATGCATGAGTACGTAACCTACTAATCATCATGGTTAGCTTACTAATGATGTTACAAAAATGACTGCGTGTTGTTTTGTGATAACAAACACTTTTCACGCGTTTCTCGTGAAAGCACTTTTGTTTAAATGACGGTGCAGTGAATATTTTCAAATAATAAACACTTACGTATTTAGTTTTCCATACTAAGAATGTCAAGTATAATTGATAAACCATCTGTAGGTTTTAGAATCATTTTAAACAATACCATACTGGCAAATAACCATATCTATATATTTTTTTCAATCATCAATTGCAAACTGGAAAATCATCAAACGCACAGGATTGTGCGGGGTTCGAACACAAATTACCATATACTAGTATTCGAATCATGAACCGTATTTTGTGACAATTCTCGATCCCGTTTTCATGAAATATTGGAATGAACATTCTTATATCAGAGAAATTAAGACTGTCGCCAGTTAACGTCACACATCATGTGAATACATCAGCATTCTTTCAATGTATATTACTAATCATTTATGAAGCAAGATGAAGGGACATTTCAATTACTTTGATAAGAATCACGTATCGTTTGTAATTTAATTAATCCCAGTAATACCCCCAAGAGTTACAAATGATATTCTGTAAATCTCCAGATTGTTGTTTTAAAATCGACAAATGCTGAATCAAGAACGTTATTAGTTAATATACATACACGTTAGTCTTGAGGCTGTACTGTGGTTCACACATTGAATTTGTTCAACACGAGGGAGTGAAAGCGACCACCATATAAATGTGTTGATGTTAGTCTGCTGAACCTATTGGAGGTCAACCTCTGAGACCATGCGTTAGGTCAACAAATATCATTAGGTAACATTTTGAGTGAAATGCATGTGTGTGATAATGCAATCGCAAACCAGCATACAGAGTGCATCTAAAAGTCTCTATTGCTCATTCGTGTTATTAACTGAAAAGATTGATTGGAAACCATGTCATGTATTCGCCGCTATCATCGGCGCATCTTTTTGTTACGCATTCCTTGTACCAATTTAACATGTGGTTATTAACCGCTTCCAACATTTAGATGAGAGGCGAAACATTTTCTCTATTGTTAGAATATTTCTCAATGTTTTTGCTCGATGAAATGAAATGAAAAAGTCATATTTTATTATTGATATGTGTCCATATATTGTGAAATTACGCAACATAATATAGTCTATTATTGGGACACTTTCCGGGGACATCTCAAGCAGCATTATCTAAAAATGATAGCAACGCTTGCATACTACTGAAACGTCGACCACATTTACCTGTCACAGCCTCGTTCGCCGTATCGATGTGCATGCTAAGGTTGAACATTGAACATTTTTAATTTAAGTTTTAATTTAATTGTAATATCGGAACCCCCATGTCTCTGACCCTATCTCAGAATTGATATGATAGAGTAAAACAGTTTAAAGTGCCTGTGAAATACCCACCTACACATTTGTGCGTTTGGTTTCTGTTACTCTGAGACATTTGTGAAAATGAGATTTAAAAAAAAAACAATTAATCAACTTTGAGTAAAATTGAAAACAAATCGAGTGGTAGCCACACCCCTTCCTGTCGCATTTAACTGATTCCGACTTTGAAAGCAAATATCCGTTAGATCGTTTGGCAACAGCCATGTTTGAACAGCTTTTGACCAAATATTGCGTCATAACAAAACTAAGCCTAAATATTTATAATACGATTCAACTTCGATACGAGTGTTACCAAAATATCAGTTTTCATTCCCAGCACAATGGTTACCTTTACGAAATATGAAATTTTATGAAATGTTACATCCATCGTCCGAATCGCACAGTTTCGCTAAAGCCGGCTATTCATAACCCTCGGTCATAACCAACCCACGAACCCGTGCGTGACCGTGTTAGGAAAAGCTGTATTTCACCGCAGCTAAATTGGGTCATTTGATTGGGCGCGCCAAGGAGCTGGCGCCACCAATCAGAGATGCTGTATCATAAATGTGGAGATCGGGGAGCTCATCAAACATTAAAACAATGGCGTTTCCAAAATTTCTTATTTCAACGTTGAAAACTGTTTGTGGAGGACGATGGAATGTCTAAATATTTGCGCAAACTGTGTTTTAGTAAACTGACAAAACTGTTGGAACTGATAACATATCAACTTGCCCAATTTGGTTTCGTCGCAACACAGCCCGGCAACACAGTCGAAGGACTGTGTTTGCAACAAACACGTCATATTCCTCAGATACAGCTCTAATAAACGCTTTCTTTTGATGATCAGTAAGATAAAGGTAGCAACAGGTTTTTTAATTCTACCAAGAAATGTGTAGTTTCTTTCCACGTGGTTTATTTCGTGAGTTCTGATTGAGTGATGCAAATGAGCCGAAGTGAATATTATAACTTATCGTTCGATAGCGTGCGACATACATTAAATCGTGGTGAAATCTGCCAAGGGTTAATGTTGAGGCTACGGCCGAATAAATTGTCTTTTGCTGACGAAGATGTGTTACATCTTGACAGTAAGAAATTGTGTTTCAGAATTATTCTATAAATTCTATAACGGATTGTGTGAATTATTACGTCATCACTTGTCCGCGCAAGTCATCATGGGGAAAAGTGTTTTTGTTTTAAGCCTTTGACATGTGGTGTATTATTTATAACTATTACTATTTACGGGTAAAATAAAATAAAACAAAAACCCTAATGTTTATTGTACATTTAACATAACATTACACATAGGAACTATCCTTACAGACTGTTAGAACCCCGTCGGCAGACGAGTAACACTGGTTCTCACTACAAGAGGTTACGACCCCCCCCCCCGCTAAATTCTAAGGCAAAATAAAAACAAGATACATGCACGTAACATGACGTAACGTGACATGTGAAGTACTCGTACTCCTACTAATTTTGCTGGTGAGACAAGTTTGAGATTTTTCAACGGATACGAAAAAGAACTTTTCTCCCATGAATGAATAACGACTAAGAAAATAAACGTCAAACCAGGTGAATGAAGCGACAAAGAACGGCAATCGCCGGACATTCAATAAAAATGTGAATGAGAGAATCCAGGTCACCACAAAACGGATAGTTTTCAGAATTAGCAAAATTGATCCAACAAAAAAACCATCAGAGTAGTCCATGCTCCATGCATGTGATGGAAGGGGGTTAACACACGTAAGTTGGGCTTAATACTTACAGGCAAGGCCAGTAGATCACGCCACACAGTTTCAAGTTGTCCGGATTACGAGTTTTGTTCAAGTTCATAACCGCATTGAGGTATTTGCAAATAGCGCCCTCTGAGAGTTTGTATAATGGCAAATTCGGCTCATCTGGGAAATGTAGCTGGAAACTGGGGTGACTAGATAAAGGTTGTTAAACAATGGTACAGCAAGAATGTCTCTAATGTCTGTTTGAGTCGTCATAAATACTCTTTTTGTCCAGTGATTTCCAACAGCGTAGCAAGTCAGAGTAATATCGGGAAGATGATGGAGAAATTCAGCCTGAGTGTAGTTCATAACAAGTGCTTGCCATACGATAAAAGACCAGCTAGATTAAAAATAAAATAATCAGCTAATTTAAAACAAGGATGGTCATAATCGGAATATAAATACCGCTGCGTGTACTTTAGGTGTGTGACATTTTGTCCACTATTTTCTATGGGAAAATACAAAGTTTCCGCCTGCACCCAATGTCGGCCCAAAATTCCATTTTGTTTAAAACTTTTTGCTTTATTTCAGTCCAGTTTGTGTACTCTGAAGAATTTCTATACTGTGATGTTTTGATCCCGTCTGAAGTAAAGGCTCAACACCAATTGCATACAACAGTGTTGATAGAGAGCATCCCTGACGAATACCCCGAGAAAACAGGAGTGGTGATGTGAGGGCGCTGTTTACTCTAATAAGAAACTAGGCATTTTTGTAAAACAGACTGATATATTGAATACAATTATATACAAGTAAGAGTGATTGATTCTGTCAAAGGCTTTTTCCTGATCAAGATATACAATACCTAAAGGAGGGTTAGTGTTGTTACAATAACCAATGGAGTCACGCAATGCGTTGATGTTATCATGAATGTGGCGGTTTGGTATACTGCATATCTGAGGAACTTTCATGTATGGGCAAAAATCAGTGTAAAGTAGAAACCAGAATTTACCTACGTGTAAGGGAAGATAAAAATGTCCGAGACTATAGAACCTTCATCATCACTGTTATCATTTTCGCTTTCATCACGGTCATCCCGTGGTTCCCCTGGGCTGGTAAAAGATCCTGCAAATCGAGAAAACTAGACACAGACAAACCTGAAAGCCGATTCACCGGCGATTTGGAACAAGCACGAAAGAGAATTTCTTACATTTTAAATTTCCATTACACTTATTTCCTCCATTCCAAATTTTCACCATTTCCCTCTCGATGTTTTTTTTTTTTTTTTTGTATTTTCAACTTCAGTTTCAGTTTCCATTCCAAGTATTACTGTTCTCTGTTTCTATGTGTTCTGTATATGCATTTTGCTTGATGTGTGTCATTTTTGTCGTTTTTATTAGTATCAATTAAGCTATTTAATTGCTTACTGTTTTATTTTAAGTTTAATTTAAATTTAATTTAATTGCATGGTTCTTTGTTCACATTCGTGACATGATCACCGTGTTGTGTATCGTTTGACTGTGGTCAGTTTTTATAGGTTTGACCCGGTTTTTTACAAAGAAAAAAAAATCAGTAAGTATTGACAGCAAAACATACATAATGAAACCTTTTTAAATACACAAAATCCTGTCTTCGAAAAGACTGGACATGTTTCAATGTCGGCCTTTAGTACAGCTGAACGCTGCTCATTACACGAACGTACTGATGCTATGATAATGTGTTAGGTACTACCAGTATTTAGTTAAATCATGGTCACGTGGTGTCCACGGCATATAAACCACTGGAGCGATTTGGTGCGTAACGATCGAGCAGCCATAATTCAACTAAGTTGTACCACAACTCGTGGTTGTGAATATGCAAAGCTTTATTACATTATTAAATGATGTATTTATAAAGTGAATAATTATGTTATAATGACGTTTGCAAAATAGCAGCATTTGCGGAAATTATCATTATTCCATAATTACGTTTACAGTGATGCATAAAACATGTTGTATACAGTTATTAAAAAATACTATTTAGCAATAAAGCGTACTTTATTTCACAATACAATATCCCTAATTACATCAAGAATTACATTGTAATATAATTGGGACTGAATACGAACAAGCGTCTACCCATGAGCCTTCGCGCTTTTAGTGTGTGTTGTTATCGTCGCTTGGAACTCAATTCCCGCGCGTGCGCAGGTGACGACCCTCCCGCTTTATTTGTTTGGTTCGAACGACAGGTTCTTGGCAGTTAGTTACTGCGCATGCACAAGCGCGCAAAACATACACAGGTGCGTGACGGTGTATACCAGAGCGACGAAAAGTCCGTATGCTGGCACACATAATGTAGACTACGAATTCAGTACTGGTCACCGAGTACCTAGATTCATTCAGTGTTATCGCAATTTACATTTTTTTCTGTCGTAATGAATCTAACTTGTAGACTGTTATTAGTATCTGTATTCGTCAATTTACTCGGCGTAGTTCGCTTGTATGAAGCGAAGAAAGTACCGCTTTATATCGGAGGTCTGTTTCCCTCTGATGACCAGGGACGATATCGGGGGTTGATATCTACAGTGTACGAAGCCATTGAACATATCAACAATTGCAGTGAAATACTACCAGATTACGAATTGGTATGGACCTGGAGAAACACAGAGGTAAGAAAGATGATAACGTTATATAAGGCCCTTATAATCCCTTACCAAATAAATATATATTTCTAAAACATTTATAATTTTAAATGCATTTACCAATAAAACACACTCTAAACACATCTGTAAGCGAAATAAAAAGACATTTAAAAAACGCGTTTAAATGTATTCAAAAAACATTCGACTGCGAGATATATGTATAAAATATGAAAATAGTTTTTAATTAAACCTATATAGTTTTCACAACCTGAAAGACTGTTTATATTCATGCAGCTATAACTTACTTGAATTGATAATTTGACTCTTCTTGAACATCAATAATTCCTCGTGTGTAGTAGTTACATACGCTGTACTTGTATAATAATTGCGCTGGTTTTAATGTTCGAATTAAACCAACAGGTCGATATTGGACTGGGTCTGTACCATGCCTACGAATACATATACCACGGCCCACAGATGATTGCAATGCTGGGTCCCATTAGCTCGTACGAGTCAGCAGTGGTAAATCTAGTGCTTAGGTACTATCATATAGTCCAGGTATGTAATAAGACGTTACACTACACTACTGCTATACCTGCCTTGGTGTAGATTATCATCATGGAATTATTAAACTAAACTGACATGAAAATAATATAGTTATTGCATTTGCAGAATAATTCTCTCTTGTTAAGTTGTTATATTGGATTTTCCAACACGCCTCGCACATATATGGAGCACAAGGTGTGCTTGATTTAATTATTGGTTGAAGGGGAGTTCATAAATGTTATTATTTGTAGCGTAATGCCAGTGGATTTGCTGTCACTAAAAAGCAAAAAACATGGAAAAAAGTCCACAGTCAATGGAACAGTTTCACGGACCCTGAATCTGCTTAATGTTAGAAATTCGTTTCTACAATCTCATGTGGCAAACTAAGAAAGAAATTAGTTGTACTCCTTTAAATGTTATTGTACTTTAAATCATATAAATTGCGACTGGACTGATGTGTGGTGTGAAGTAAAATTGTAGTGGTCGCCCAAGCGAATGGCATACTGGTACGCCGTCTCGGTACCCGCCGCGGCAACGCTAGTTTGTCTACACACACCTGAGTCGCCGCTGTGAATCGACTGTCTGTGCAGTACACAGGGGTGCGTACCCGGGGTACATGTTTATCGTACTCTACACAAAATTGCCTGATTTCCATTTTGAAATCCGTTGTTATTGCCAATGGGCCATTTTAAATTATGCCGATTTTAGTATCAATTACTTATTACCTCACATTGATCAACATTGTATTTGTATTCATGATACGGGGCCTTGATCGTCAATAATGGGATAGATTTTCGCGAATACTCTGCAACAATGACGACATAAATTTTACTGGTATTGATAATGCCATAATATAATGATTATTATTCAATTATTTATCAATACATTTGGACCAATACATTATATACCTTTCCTTTTATTTTCTGTTCTTCCCCCTGACAACTATATATGTATACGACTGTATACTACAAAACAAACATCACAATTGTTTTGACTACAATTGCATTTTGTAAATATATTATAAGAAAACCAGTATCTGCTGGACTACTAGATTTGTTCACAATCGTGTATACACTTGCATATATTTTGCTCGTCTCAAGCTTGTCCTTTTTAAATAAAAGAGAGTGGACAATTAAAATTATTTAAAACACCTTCAGGCTCCTGAATAATCATTAAAGATCTTTAAATAAATCATCTCCAAGTGCTTTGCCTTTCTTGATTAATGTTTCAAATAAAATATTAATATATCTGTAAGCATGACACTCACCAGCGATCCTTACTGCGCGATGGATATATTGCGAAACATTGGCATATATTAAATATTGCGAAAATACCCTTTTTATGGACAAGATTTTTTTGTCATTTGTTTTTGTAAGCTTCCCTAAGTCTAATTGTTGATTTTACCTAATGAGAAAGAGCGATGTGTTTCGCTTGAAGAAAATTTTTGTGGTAATTTTCAAAGATCAATTTGAGCTGGAGACAATATATACCTCATTATATTAGTCGTGAATATTTCAAATGTAATCAGAATTGTACTCATCGACTTCAGTTCATTTATCCCCGCTCTCCATAAAATATTAAGCATGAATTATCTGTACATAAAATAGCACTCATAATTTGATTAAAAAATATGTTCGTACTTTGTTTCAAACTAGTAAACACTTTTTTATCTTCTGTAATTACATATTTTCTATTTATAGAAGTCAACTTAATAAGACTGGAAATGATAGCACACATATATAGTATTCTTTTTAAATAGCACCACGCCTAAATGTTTATTCATGGTGAACTATTCATTCCTTATTTTTGTACAGGACTACAAATTACGTTAAAACAATGGGTGCACTGAATGTTTTAACTTCCATTCAGATATATTGATGTTTCTTGTCAACAGTCCTAAAATTAGCGAATATCTTCTGGTGATAACAACATGATCTGCTTCTTCTCCTATGTACTTATTTATTTAATGTGCATTTGTCTGACTTTCTACCAGAATGTATGGATAAAAATTTAAACTTTCCCATCGTAAATTGATCACTTCTTAACAGAACTGTTTTTATGGTATTGATGGGTATTACACGATTCTTTCGATACGTTCATTGTGATTTGGATATACCTGTGTATGTATGTACAACTGTGAAATGAGGTATGCATTGCGAGCTGTCGCTCAAGTAACCAAGCAATAGATCAAAGAAATATACTTATGATATCTAAGACAAAATCTCAATCCCAGATTCGAAGCATGACAGTTTGATATTTTGATAATTACGATTCTATAATCACAGACGTGTGTTCAGGCTCACAGAGCAATAGTCGAGAATCTTGCCAATTAAACCGTAATACTGTGAATTATCACATTACCACTCTTCTTTTTATTTTTAATATTATCTTGTTCTCGTTGTGCTTTTATGTTTTCATCAGCTCAATATGGGACTTTCTCGAGTCCTTAATGACGAACACCAATATCCTTACACCGTGCAGATGTACCCGGAAGTTGATTCAGAGGTCAGAGTGGCTCTCAGCAAACATTTCAACTGGAAGAGAGTATCCGTGCTTTACAGAGCTGATGATGATTTCTGGGAAGGTGTGAGTACTTACTCCATAATCTGCATCCTGATAATCCAGAAAATAATGTATGCTTGTTTGTTTGTTTGTTTGTTTGTTTGTTTTTATGTCTGAAGGATAGTACAGTGAGCCATGCATACCTTTCTCCTGTAGTCTCCTCCCCATCGTACGATTTGAACATGCAATACATAAAACGGAATGAAGGTATAATTCGAGCAAGAAGTAAATCAGAATTCTTATGGCACCAGTTATTAGGCAGAAAGATTTACATCCAGTCTACACAAAGTTCTGTCATATGAACTAGATCTTTATAACACATACGTATTTTTCTTGTTCCACAGTTGGCCAGAGATACTGTTGCTGGGCTCGAACGGGAGGGCGTGTCTGTCATTTCGGTTGAAACAGTTGGTGAGAATGCGGACGTGAACATGATCAACTTGCAAGTAGGTTAAAACAAGAGTGTTATGCAAACGTAACGGAACAGTATACGACTATTAATCAGTTGATACCATACTCATTTTATCTGTTTTCAGACTCGTGATGCTCATATTCTCTTCTTATTTGGTTACTACGATCAAGCTGTGAAATGTATATGTTCGGTGAGTATATAAACTTTTTTAAGAAATAAAAATAAACCTTTTTTATTTCTTATGTACTGTTGTATCTTGGAAACGACTTTCGGTTGAGATAGTTTCATGCACAAATGAAAGAAGGTATTGAAACGCCTTTGAACTTTTATACACTTAATGACTATATATTTTCTATTCACATGTGAGGCGTATAAGTATGGTCTAATTGGTGACAAATACCAATGGATTATGCCGGGGTGGTACTATCCCAATTGGTGGAGAAGTAGTGACGTTCAGGGTCTAACCGACTGCACTCCTGAACAACTTGACTTGGCAGTGGAAGGTCATTTAGGAATAGAAGTGTATCCTGTCACCACTGATTTGGAAAAGCTCGATTTCACTGTCCAGGTATAATTAATTGTTACTATAATGAGATGCAAAGCAGGAACCAAATCATCTCAATAACTTTAAATTTGTGAAATAGTCTGTCTCCTTTTGTATTTGTTTGTACAGACAGCATACTATAGGTAGGTAGAATAACGGATTTCGGCTTTGTAAACTTTTGCTAGTACGACTCATAATTCTTCTGCACCCACAATCAGTGAATAAGAATATGTTCTTTTACTCCGTGTGCACAACAGAAATAGCTAAACAAAGTGACCAGCGAAAGACCTAGTAGTAATAGTACTAGCAGTAGTAGTATAGTTGTTGCTGGTTTGGTGTCGTGAACGGTAGAATCCTAGATTTGTTCTCCAGATGAAATGTGACTCAGAATTCGTGGAAAGCTAGAGATACAGATGGTGTGAGTGTCTCTTATGTCATAGGGAAAGCCAGAAGTACATGCAGAGAAACGCGTTATTTGGTGAATAAGTCACAGACATCGCGAGAAAGCTACAAACACAGACTGAGATTAGTGCCTTAAGTAAATTTTGGAGACCCTTGATTAATGCCCACAGGTGATTGTAATTGATTTGTATGACTGTCGTCAGGATAACACATCAAATTGCGATGATGCCTTCACAATGTAAAGCTGATCACATAGCTGTATCATGTCAAAACAAAAAATGTGTTCAATTGGCAAATTGTGATTTATGCTAAATATTTGCCCCACATCTGTGTGCGTGCGTCCATCCGTCCATCCATCCGTCCTCTGATACACCTTGACCGAACTACACATACATTATGTTACACATGGGCACATTTCGAATCATGATGGCCGATTCGCGCCCATTTTAGTGATACAACTTTATTAAAATCAACCATTTCTGCCATTCAAAACCTGAAATCGTTCGTGTGTGAACGAATTTAATTCAAACTCTATACATACAATGATTGAATGTGACCTTAGTGCACGTTATTTTGCTTTGCGTGTCCGCCCATCATAAAAGAGATCGTTGGTTTGACTCCTATTGTCGACTGCACACCCTGCAGTACCGAAAAGAATACATTCTGCCCACTCACATTCGTATATGGGAGAATGGTGTCCTTTCGGGGGCGTAAAGCTATGGGTCTTGTGTACGGCTCCTATTCTCAGTAAACGTAAACGATCAGCTGTACTAGCTCCAAAGCTTTTCTGATGGGCAATTGACGTATTCCACTAAATACATGTGTGCGATTGAGTTTGACCGTCCCTCATTTCCGAATCTGTAATTTGAACCGACCTGTTGACCAGAAATGAAGAGTGGGTAATATACATGTTCAATGAGATAAATGCTGGTTAAATAAATAAATACATTCGAAGGCGGTCATTTTGTTTTATATGCCTTCAGACATACGTTATGCGTATGCACTTGTAATCTTTTCGGCTGCTTTAGTGCAAAATATTCATCAACACGAGCGTTTTTGCCATTCACTAACTTAATTTCGGTCTAGTGCGAGTAGATTTTCTTCAAACGTGGTACATGATATTTTCAGTTTAAGATGGCCGACAGTCAGTACTAGATCCATATTGTTGACGTGCCTCGACCTGTAACGTTCACAAATACATAAAAGTTCGACAATGTGAATAAATATTTCGTAAATTGCCGTTAAATTAGCGTAGTGTTACTCCAAGTATATAGAGGTCATAGGTCAATTCTAGAAGGTAGTTGTGCCAGCGATATCGATTTTAAATCATCCTAATAACATGAAATAGCCGCCAATCCGGCTTAATTTTAAATTACCATGCAGCTATGTGGTTATATGACCGACACATGTTTAAAGTAAATCACAATCGGGCGTGTTTAGTACTTGCATGGGAGACTGCCACATAAAACATCAAAATGGCGGAATTCCTTGGCTATTGTTTTTATCAAAATCAAGCATTTCCATCATTCCAGAAATATATCTCAAGTGTGTATGGGGGGGGGGGTCATTGCACTGTACAAGTACAGGCACGGGCACTGTACCACGTCTTTTAATTCATTTCATCCAGTCACTTGCAAACGACTATAGAGCATACTACGAAGAAATGCGAGACCGTGTCTTGGTTGACTTCACTTGGGATCCCTTCGCCTACGACATGGTGTGGATCATTGCCCTGGCTTTACATGCAACTGAAGATAGACTGACCGCTAGTAGTTCCACAAAACGACTGACACATTTCACATACAATAACAAAGAAATTGCAGATATAATATATGAAGAAATCAAGAAGGTTAATTTCTACGGTATGACGGTAAGATTGATCTTCCTTTCCTACACAAATATATATATATCGGTGAATATGTCTTTCAGGTATATTTCAGGTACACCATATGTGTATTATATGTTATTTATTGTACTATGATGTTAGTTGTTTTGGATAATATATGGTAATTCATTCATTTTCTGTTCTTTGTATTAAGTAATGTATTAAAAGTCAAAGATTCGCTCACTCATACTTGTATGTGTCATGTTATCAATCTAGTTCAATGTCGAGTTCGATGACGTTGCATTGAGGAGACCTACGCCTCATCTCATTCAACAATTACAAGGTACTGTAAAGGGGGTAATTATTCACTGGGTTTTAATTTAGCTTATTTCGCTGACTGGAAAAATGCGCTAAATTAAAACACAGTGAATATGTAAAATTTAGCATAGAACACATTATCTAAATGATAAAACCGTGAATTTAAAACCTACTGAATAAGCCTGAAATGGTAAATCAGTGAAATTTAAACCCAGTGAATATTAGTCATTTTACAGTATACAAATTAGTTCCACAAGCGTTATTCTAAGCAGTTTATATAAACGATTGATTATTTGAATGATATTATTTTGTTGAATGTGAATTAAAATGCTGTAACTACGTGATTTTTAAATTGTTGGATTTTATTTATTCGTTGAATATAGGAAATTTATTTTATTATATCTCGCGTTTTGACAGTAGATATATATTATTTTTTTAGACGGAAAAGAGATTGAAACGTGTCGATATAATGCCAATCCGGGTTCTTTAGAATGTTTTGCACCATTTACATGGGACATAGAAGGTGAGTTAATGAACAACAAACAAACAAATCACAACATTGCATTATCATTCTTAAGTAAAGTTGTTTTATCAATGACATGAATGTATGTGTGTTTTTATTTTAGGTCGTAGTCCACCAATAGACGGTGCAACAGAAGTCATTGGTGTTGTTTCTGTATCACCTAAAATACGATATTCAATTTATGGATTGGCTGTTTTCGGAATCTTATTATCTTTATTCTTTCTCTTCGTGAACTTAAAGTACAGACATACCAAGTAAGACATATTCTACCTGTACCTAGATATATTTAGATACCCGAAGGATATCAATACATTGTTAGATTACACACTTTCTGATCGATATATTGACCAAAACTAGTGTCTCGTGTCAAGAAACGAGCCCTTAACAACATAATTTGAGTTAAAATGGTTTATTGTTGGTTACAAAATACGATCATCACATCTCGCGTGATCTCATACCATGCATGGAAGTGACATGATGTCTTTATATAAATAGCTACACAAGCTATTACATATCAAACATATTTGTGTTGATTTCTATGAAGAATACTGAAAATGACAAGTCCTATTCTGACGTCACTTATACCTATTGGGTGCATACTGGTCTATTCGTCCATATTTGTTGCTGATTTGGACCCAACACTGATATCAGAAGAATTAATGGGTTATCTCTGTAAGGTATGTATACAAATATCGTTAGATAAATACTGCTTGGCGACAAATATAATGTTAATATATAATAGTTCTTGATAATTATTCAATGTAATGGGATGTTTTGGACAGATGGCCTTCATTGGTACGGCAATAAATCTGATGAAGAACAATGATTAACACGTACCACGTTATACTTACAACATTCACATATGTGGGTTTTTTTTGTCCATTTATTTATGACCCTCCTATTGTTATACAGCTCCAAATTGGTCTCCTGGCTATCGGTATATCACTGTCGTTTGGTGCTCTGTTTATGAAAACCTATAGAGTTCATATCATCTTCAACGTTGCGATGAAATCATTCCGAACAAAAAAGGTAATGAATGAATGAATGGATGAATGAATGAATGAATGAATGAGTTGTTATAGCTTGTTGTATTGAAATACAACAGAAAATCATAAACATCATTATATCATTCCAATGTAAATTCACCCCAATTATCTGGCAGTCACGATTGTTAATTCTTCCAGGGTTTGCAAGATACTAAACTCATTTCAGCTACCATACTCTTCGCTTTGTTCGATGCTATTGTGTTAACGCTGTGGATGACATTAGACCCGTCCTATATCATAACTGTCAAGTTCGATCCTGTGGTAAATATTAACTTGTTAGTGTATTACTGAATCAATTGACGTATAGACCATAATTGATATAGCCTATACCTATTCTTCTGCATTTACTGTTGTATGCACTTCGTACCTACTGTGTATTACATTAATACAATGTTATACAATAACAATAATAATTTAAGCTCGGAAAATGTTTTGAGTTATTTTAAAGGAACCTGTACGGTCAGATGTTACCTTATACTGAAGAACCTTTAAATGTCGGAAAATGTATCAATAACTCATGCAGGAGCATAAATAATCAGTTTAAAAAAACACTCATAACAATAATATTGTAATTTAGATAAATATTCGTTTTTACCGCCATACCTCACATGTGCTTGCCTAATTGTATGCAAATTATATTTACAGTTAGACATGACAGAACCTGAAAAAGAAATTTACATCGTCGCCGTGCTGAAAACATGTTCCTCCGAAGATGAACTGTATTACGCGGTGGTATTGGTTACAGTTAAAGTTGTATTATTGCTTTTTGGAGTATTCTTAGCGTGGAAGACACGGCGAGTGGAAGTCCCTGGCATGAACGAAAGTAAGAGTTTATGATAATATGTACGTATTGTTACCAGTATGACGAATTGTATCTGTAAATCATGTCACCTCTTTTGATTGGTATACGACACCTCATTCTAGTAGTGGCATTAACATTACAAAATGTCAAGGTTTAAGGAATGTTCGATCAATCCAAACCAGGTAGTAGTTGGTGTAAGCGCCATAGCTAGAAGAAAAGCAATTTACAACAGCAATCGTCACTGTAAAATATACTCTGCAAGTATAGTTAATCTCACTAGTAGCCACATCTTGCACATGTCCCGAGGCCGAACGCCGAAACTCCTTACACAAAATCCCCTATACGATATGACCAACTTTTTCAATAGTTGATAAAGAACTCTCATTCAGCCATGAAACTCTTGGAAGCCTTTACAATAGCCAAGCTTCAAGTTCAATAATGCCTGACACTAAAAATGGGCGAATTACAAATAAGCACTGACCAAAACTGTGATCGTTACTAATAAGCAAATGAAAAATTGTGGCGATTATAATCTGCATATGAAAATAATTGTGACTGTTACTAATATGAAAAATCAACAAAAGTGTAAGTGTAATTTCCAAGACACTGTCAATGCAAACACAAAATGTCGCGATGAAATGTGATAATCACCACGTACATAATGTATAAATTGTATTCAAAAAGTTACACCAATAACACATATTTCTGATTACCCTCAAACTGTATGTCATGCTAAGAATATTTCCTGTGACATAAGCAAGTCCATAACACAGTATAAAATTCCACAAGGTAATACTCTAGTAATAATGGCAACTAAACTAATTTCCAACCCTTCTGAATGTAACGTCAGCCACCGTGGAATTTTCTTTCAGTATTGTTAACTTCAGATCAGCTTTCGTTAGTCTGTTGTACATAAAACCCAGGGATACAGTGTCTTTGATAAATCGAAGAGATATTTGATTGTTTGCTGATCACGATATTTCGACGAAATGAGGATATAATGGGCGCTTCGTTAGCAGTGGCGGACCCCCCCCCCCCCCAAAAAAAAGAAAAACGCATGACGATTAATATCATCTGGATTACGCATAGCTTCTCTGCGATTTTCGCTCGGTAATGTTAAGCGAAGCTCCCCCACCACCCATACATTTTGCTGGATCCGCCACTGTTCGTTAGCGCGAATGCCTTTGAGGTTTTTTTTGTGAGAAATTAGTGAAGTCGACTTTGTACACTGTACATTAATTGCTATACCTTTCTGTATGAAAAGCGTGTGTACCGTTAACAAAGTATTGACTACACATATTGACTTTATGTAGGTAGATACATCGCATTGTCAATCTACATTGTGGCGATCACGTGTCTTGTGAGTGCAGCTGTACTCTTCTTCATGAAACAGAATGTCGTGTTCACGTACACCTTTCTTGGTTCCGCCATCTTAGTCTCCAACACTGGCGTCTTATGTCTGATGTTTGTCCCAAAGGTACGTACATTGAAATAGTGGGTTTAATTCGATTGAGCAATCAAACATACAATGCTCAAGGTCCTGTAATGTTTACTTGAATCGTGGCTGCAATCGACTGTAACTTTCAAAGGAAAGTATGTCATGTTTCTGGCTCGTCACTGTCGTAAGATGCGTGGAAAACTAAAATTGTGAACACTCTAACATATTTTCACATTTTTAAATATAGAAATTGACACATCTATAAATAAATGTTGATTGCATTTTAATCACTTGTGGAATTTACAAATCAAAAATCGAAATACATCACGAAGAATACTGCTAAATAATTATGGTCAATCATTAGACAAATAAAAAGTCAAAGTCAGAATATGCACTGTGTTCACTACTTTACACGTTATACGAATTTATTTTTCGAATAGCTCAAATTATTGTACCTCACCGAGAACACGAAATCACAACGGCCAGTAAGGTCTGGGGAATCCACCAGGATTAAGCAATTTCGACAAAACGACAACGATAATGCGAATTTAAAATCAGAGTTGAATGAGGTGAGTTCCATGAATAATAATGAGGTGAATTACATGCATAATAATGAGGTCAGTTCCAGGCATAATAACGAGGTGAGTTCCGGGCATAATAATGAGGTGAGTTCCAGGCATAATAACGAGGTGAGTTTCAGGTGTAATAACGAGGTAAATTTCATACCAAATAATGAGGTGAGTTCCAAGATTGATACTATTTAATTTGAATGTGTCTATAATCGTGATATTGGTGTACGATTTAGTGAAATGTGAAATATGCGCAATATATCAATTATATTTATACTTTCGAAAAGTTAAACTCGGTTTACTAGAAAAAAGGGTTTCACAATCTCATGTAATTGAAGTCATTACCTTATAAAACAGCATTGTTTATTCATTTATTCGTTACAGAAATACGAACAATTGGACAAGCTGCGGAGAATACTACGTGAATATGCTACTAGTGGCCCACAAGTCGATTCACTTGAATTCAAATTTATCGGATCGTAAAAAACACAAACTATTATCCTTTTGAAAACAATAAATTTCCTTTGTACCGTTTTTTGAATATACTTAGTGACTGCATTTTTGTTATAGGCAAAAATTACAAAAATAAGTAATTTTGACGTACTAAATGGCCGCTAGTTTATCAATTATAAACAAAACAATGGATGTGATTGAGTAAACTGAGAGGTGTTACCAAGTTTTAACGGAATTGGTCTGTGCAACTCATAACGCTCTACACACATCAGACCACACGTGGGTCAAATATGGCAGCAAGATATATTGAATCTAATCGAAAACCAAAAGCATGTGCATATTATGTTCATTTATCAATTATATACCAAGTTTGGTAAAAGTGGTTTCATTAACCACTGTGAAAATGCGACAGCAAATTTTTCATGAAAACAAGTCATAGTTCTATTTTATTATGTATGTGTATTTTTAAAATCATACTTGGAAATATTTAGGATCGCTCTTTTCAATAATAATTATTATGCTGAATAGGTGGACAAATACATGAAAACAATTTTGCGATGTGATTTCATTTTCCGTAAGAAGACGACGCCAACATATCTGTCTGGTAAATGTACTGCCGATATCACGAATAATGTAACGACGTATTGATGTAATGAAACATGGTTTAAAAATCTTCACTCAAAAACCATTTTTAAAATAGATATCGGGTTATTCGTTGCGGAGCATCTGCGTTTGAAATCCATCGAAATGTCTTAGACGATTTTTCATATTTAATCTGGAGAAATTCTGTTTTTTAATGTACTGGTCATATAAAAGGCACTTTCAACATCATAAATAAAAAATAAACGTTCGCGTTGTTTGACACTTATTTGGATTTACTGTAAGAATTCATTCAAATATCATCTTGTAGTACGATATTTACCCAAATGTGGTGTACGTCATCAATTTTGCATGCACATATGTATAATTCATTTTTTTTTATTTTTAAATGGCAAATATGTCGTGTTTTAAATAATGAATGTAGATATGTACCGAAAATTTATTGCCATATCTTAAATTCTTGAAGTATGAATTACTATGACCTCAATGATTTAAATTATAGACTTTACTAGTGCGTTTCAATATCTCTAAAGTATCACCATTTTTCCTTACTATATCTTATATCATAACAAGACACTTCGCGATGAGCGTCTTTTGCGGTCAGTAATATTTACGAACATTTTTGTTCACTATTGGCGATCCGTTCTGCTAGGATTGCCCTTAAAATCAATGTTGTGTTTTTGAGTGTGTGGTTTCCGGTGTTTTCAGTATTAATTCTTCTGTGATTGTTTTGGCTTGGGCTATTTTCCTCAAACTTGACAGGCAGGTCACACCATCATCCTAGTTATTAGGTAAAATCTGAAGAAAAAAATTGGCCTATCGTTGCCATAGTAACAGCCAACAAACTCGATAGCTTCGTGCTAAATGAACCTCCTCCTACAAATTTAGGATAAAACTCTTCAGACATAGCTCATTCTACTCAGCTTGAGTGTGGGCACTAAGTTACTATTTAAATTTTTGATATCTGTTTTCATTACCGACAAATTTGACTCATCTGTGATTTTTTTGGCTGGGCTGTTTGGTTCAAACTTGGCGGGCAAGTCACACCTTCACTCTAGTTAGGT